TATTTATAGAATTATTTGAAAATATATTAATTAAAATATATTCAACAAACATATATTCAACAAAATCTTATTAACTGAATTGTGAACAAATACCCTTATGCCATGACACGCAGGTAAAACTCACAAAAACGTGGACGAAGGAGGATCTCAGCATTCTCAACAGACAGAGTATGAACATTATCACAACTCGTTCTCCTTCAACAAATGACCCGGTCAAAACATTCTCAACGTTTCAACAAGATTAGAAAACTGAACACTTCACTTTTCAAATTTTCTTCTAAGGGATTTCATCAAAAAAAAAAAAAAAAATCGTAATTGTCCATCAAACGAAATGATCATGGCCTTCTGACGACAACATTCCCTTGATTGTATCACAAACACATGCAGTTGAAACAATAAGGACGGAAATAACACACAATAAAAATTTCTAAAATGGGATGTCTGCTGCATACTCATGCATTGAGTCAGAACGTCATTGTCCCAAGTGAAACTAACATGACTGAAGCAGCAACCGTAGGGCACGAACACCACACACACACATACACACACGCGCACGCACAATAACTAACAATTATAAAAAAATGCATTTATTTATTCATTTTCAAGTATCAATTTATGGCAATTTAAGTAGTTATTAGTTCAATCATTGGAGCCAAAAATCTAAATAGAATAAAAAATAAATTTTTATTCTGTTTTCATAAATGAAAACAGAATAAAAACTTAATAATGAATTTACATTGAGTGATTGATGAGTATCATTTTAATAAGTTGAAATGAATGTAAAATTAAATTAAATTTATTTCAGAAATCTTTTTAGTCCAAAATGCGGCAAACGTATTTATGCGAAAACCTTTACAGAAACGTGCAATTGAGTTGAGACATCATTTATCTAACAAGTGATGAATATGGATGAAACGATAAAAAAAATGTTGGAAAACAAATTTATGATGTCGGCTAAAATAATTGAAATTGCTGTTAAACTTGAATGCCAGAAATGAACTTCTTCAACTAATTAATCGAAATAAATTTGCGTACGTAGAGAATCCACGAACCCTGCACTTTTAAAAATCATGCAGGACATCGTCTGCTGTTTGCTTATCATTAAGTCTCGTATCAACCGTGACATTGCGTGAGAAAAATTTTGTCGACGAGTTTTTATTTGATTTTAATTTAGTTTAAAAAAATGTTCAGCGTTTCAAAATTACGATTTATCATCGGTCTAGTTTATTTTCAATTGGCGAATAGAAAATTTTTGTTTTGAAATTCTGTTTTGATGACAGGTTAGTCGGATCACCATTCAAATTTCCCACTGTTCAGCTCGAAATAACGTTTAATCTTGTTGATCAGCAAAAATAATTTAAATTTATGAATGTTAAAACTTTACAACTAAAATGTTTCAAAAATGATATCAAGTTAAACTTCAATTCTATTTAGAATAATAAAGCCAACTGACTTTAATACTATTTTCATTTGAAAATTTCTTGAGCATATGAACAAACAAAATTCTCGAAGTTCTTAGCATTATTTAACGTAAATTAAACGGATCATGTGAAAATTTGTGAGACCGTGAAGCCAGATATGAAAGCTTACCCTAAGTAACTCTAATGCTACCAATTATATTGTCCGGTTGTTTTTATTTATAAAACCTAGCAGCAGAGCAACTTGAAAACCTCACATTTTTTACTGCTAAGGAATTTTTACAATATAAAAATTTCAGTTGATTCAAGTATGTGCCAACATCTAAACAACGTGATTCCTACAGAAAATAAGCAAAAATAACGCTAAAAAATCTCATATATTCAGTTTGACTTTTTTTTGAAAAACTTTAGTGAATGGGTGTTTGCTTGTGAAGGAAGACATATTTGCAAATTGCTTTACACGTTTTAAAATTAAAAACAAGCTCCATTCTTCGATTGTTCGAAGTGTGCGATGAAAATTCGGAATGTCTACAACAGATGACAAGCGAAATTAACTGAAATAACAATAAACATTCTCGAGCAGAAGTTATTTTTATTCTTTAACTACCCTTTTGAATTATATTGAATAATTTTTTCCTTTGGTAACATTAGTTTATGAATTTTGAAAAAGTTTAGATCTGGGCTTTTTTGAAGGTTTAAAGTGTTATGAAAATGTGTTCAGACCGTGTTTGTGCTATTTAAATTCACCAGTGCTTCAAACGAATTAATCGAAAAATGATAACGTTACTAACAACTTTGAAAGCTGTTCACAACATTAATATAATGGTTATAGGTTTAGTTAAGAGTACATCAGCTGCTCGAATTACAGCGTGAGAATTGAAATATAGTGGTTCAATTTGAGTGGTCTTTCTTATAATAACGTGGAATCTGTTTAATTTTGATACGATTAATTAACTAAATTTTTTAAACATTCGAGTTACATCCACACGCATACAGTAATACGGTTTCATTGCTAAATAAAAAAGCATTTAAAATATAAAAATATTTACTGACACGTTCAGAAAAGTACTCATATTAAACATGTAACTAATTGTTTTTACAAGAAAAACGCGTACATTGCTTCCATTGCCATTACTTGGCGCATCTTTCTGCAACTGTATTGAAGTAAGTGTCAAAATTTTTATTTAAAATAGTATAAAGAGAAGTAGTATCGATATATATTGTTTGTGCGCGCATGTGTGCTTGTGTGTGCATGTGTGTGTGCGTGTGCGCGCGCGTGTGTTTGTGTGCATGTGTGTCTGTGTGATCACAGAAAAAAAACCAAAGAAGAATAGAAAATACTGCTAGACCGTACAAATTTATTTTTTTGGTCTCCTGCCACAAACTGACAGTGTCCAAAAATTCGCATACTTCTTATTAATAGCTATGAGATGGTTGACGCATGCAGTGACGACTGGAAAACTATGTGGAGCAAAAAAATGTTTATGATTATGCACCAAGACGTTACATTTTTAAATGACTTTATTTTATGTTGTTACTTCCTTGCCTAAAAACATCGGTCAAGCACTGAACAGTTCATCCCCTTTGATTAATGAATGCCGAATGGTCCATAACGACTGGTTGAAATTCACTCGCAACTTCTCTCTTCATTACTTACCTCTCTAATCGTTGTCGTATTTTGTGGGTTTTTGAATTCGTTCGAGCTTAATTTGTTAACAATATGTATTTAACAAAATAGTTAATTAGTTAATAATTAATTAATTAATTAATAGTTAATAGCTAATTGAGATACGACATGAGTGTTAAATCAAATTATAATTATAATTTTTTACAAGCACTACCAAGCATACGGAAATTTTTTTTTGAATATTTTAATGAAAAATTTCATTGATAAAATATCCTAATATTTAATGAATAATGCCGAATGACGAAATGGTGTAAAGCATTACGAACCAATGTTTAAAATTTATTAACTCACACTGATTGCAAGAAAACAGAAAATTTAAAAAAAATTGATTTTTTATGAAGTTTAGAGAAAAAAAAAACCTGATTTCCCACATCTCATACTTCTTGTTAAATTTAAAGTGCAATAACCTCACAGAGCTAAAGAAACCTTATAAGCATGTTGACGGGTGGCAGTGTGCAAACAAAGTGATGTTATATGTCAGAAAAGTTCAAATACCCTTACAGTCCATAAACTTAGATAAATGGGTTGAAATCCGCACATTGTAATGATAATTAAACTGTTTAAAATTTTACAATTTAACTAGCCAATGTCTATATATTCGCATATATTCAACTTGTACTCCAGTCTGCATGCATTTTAGACTTATCCGTTTTAAATCTTATCTGCAATAAATCCCCGATTTATCAATGAGGATCCAGATATTGGAAATTAAACTTTTCACCACCGAGCTTGATCCCCGAAACAAAATTATTACTTTTCAATATCTCAACAAATCCCAAATAACCCAGTCGTAACTATTTGACGTAACTATTTCTTCAAATAGTATAAACTTTAGGTAATGTTCTAATAATATCCCAATAATTTCTCAATAATGTCTATCCAAATAGTTCGGTAAATTCAAAATTTATTATGGTAAAAACTAAAAAAAACATGCATATATGTATTTTTATAATGGTAGAGGAGTGATGAAAAAAAGTGATGAAACTTCTTTCGAATAAAAACCAAGATGGGCAAGCTCTATATGGACAGAAAAATATAAGGTTTATGAACAAATTAGCTGAGAATGGTAAAACTTTATAATCTAAAGAACAGTGCAAAAATTTGGAAATGAGTTGGTTCCTAATTAAACAAATCTAACAGGGTATCAGCGGAAAATGAAATGAACGGCCCTAAAATAGGTGAATCGAGAATTAGTAAAAAAAATTGATTTTCGTCAATTTGATTCCATGAACGAGTAAGTTTCCATTTATTCTGAGATGTGGGAACAGAAATAGGGAAACAAATTTTAACTAAACTGTGGTCTGAGTACACATTTGGTGGCCCAACGGAAAAAAATTGTGAGGGAAGGTCAGAACTAGAGGCAATTAAATCTAATGTTCCACCATGAACGTGGGTTGGTTCATTTATTCTATTTATCAATTGATATAAATCAAAAATTTCAAATAATTTCAATGCATTAGGGTCGTTCAAAAGTTCAAAATGAATATTCACATCTCCAATAAAAATAACATAATTTGCTAAAAGCAATATTTGGTCAAAGACAGATGATAACTCATCAAAAGTATCAAATGTATGTATGTATATATGTATGTATGTGTGTGTGTGTGTGTGTGTATATATGTATGTATGTATGTATGTATATATGTATGTATGAGTGTGTGTATGTATGTATGTATGTATGTATGTATGTATGTATGTATGTATGTATGTATGTATGTATGTATGTATGCATGTATGTATGTATGTTTGTATGTATGTATGTATGTATACATGTATACATGTATATATGTATATTTGTATGTATGTATGTATGTATGTATGTTAAAACCAAATCAGCGATGAGTGACACTAAACAGTCAAACATCTGAAAAAATCGGTTAACAATTGATATCTCGTTATTCGCTCACGTCGGCGTTTAATTGAACATTTTCGGTAACACAGACGCGCAAAAACCTTTGCAGCAAACAAGATATATGATTCATGGCAAAAAATAGCTCTCTGCCGTCGCCGGACCTGCCACTTATCATTTTGCAAATCTTTTTAAAAAATATTGAAGTGTTGTTGTCCATCGGGCCAAGAACCTCGATGCAAACAGGTAAAAAATCCATCGAGGGCAGGGCACCTTCATATTTTTTAAACTTTTCATCCGATGCCCTGGTTGCGGCCAAACCACTTTCTTTGCTGGTTAAGTGCACGTACCGTTCCGCTAATGTGCCCGGAACGGTTACGTCCCACGCCAGGCATCTACCGGCTCTCCAAGGAATCAACGTGCAGCCATCCGGACGTTTTCCATCCAACGCGGAAATTCCCGAGGGCTCTTTAAGAACGGGTATTGAAGCCTTGGAGAAAAGCCGGCAGATGTAATCATTTAATGCGGAATGGCGCAACTGACGACCTCCACCTAAACGACAGACCAGGCCGTGGTGACCGTGTTCGTTAGCTTCCGCACCGCACCTACACAGATATTTATGGTGGACCGTTAAACCCAGACGAAAACCAATGGCCATCCTGACCGTCTCATCATCCAGTCGGGTACCCACCGATGAGTTGGGCCAGGATCTCAACCAACCGCAGCTCGCGTCGCTTGACGCGGCCAGCAGACGAGCCGAAGTTGCATCGTCGGGACTAGAGGACAACAAAAACTGAAAAGTTGTTTTGTATGCCTCTTCCAGCAACCGAGCTTGAAAATGTTTTGCTCGGTTGGGTGATGCTGGTGGGGTACCAAGATTCGTGAAAGATTGCCGGAGCAGGGCAGACTGCAGGTCGAGCGTGGCCGCGGCAGATGATTTGTAAACCATAGGTGCCAGCTGGACCACGCTTAACAACCCCAGTCCCACAAACCGAACCGGCAACTGGGCCTGAGACCAGCCCCTGTTCTGTCAATTCAACATTGCATAGGGTGACAAAAACTGACCTCAGGGCGCCATCGAATCCGCCCAAAATGGATGCATCAACCGAGAAGGATGTATTGAATTGAATTGAATTGACATTTGTGGCATTTCAAAAGAGTCGTTTGCGTACAATTCGCATTTTTTAATATTAAGCTCAAGCCCAATGATGGAGGCATTGTCTTTTAAAGACAGGAAATCAGTAGCTAAAATTGCACCCTCGGCGGCCAAACTGATATCGTCCAGGTAGCCGCAAACGACTTTTGAAAGAGATTTTTGTATGTATGTATGTATGTATGTATGTATGTATGTATGTATGTATGTATGTATGTATGTATGTATGTATGTATGTATGTATGTATGTATGTATGTATGTATGTATGTATAAGGCCAATCTTAAAAAAAGAGTATTCATTTTTATGTTCAACTTGTTATGTTCATGTAATACATAGAGATTTTATTTCAGCGGCATGTAAATGAAGTCAACAGCAAAAATTTGAAAAATGTTTTCGAAACCTGTCCTCCTTAAATCAAAAAAAAATTCAATCCTAAATTTAAAAAAAAACAATTGGGAAAGATTTAGAAACAAATTAATTCACCGGAAATTTATGTAAAATATTTTATTTAATTTTAATTCTGTTTTTTGCTGCATGTTTTCAAACGTCACTTTATTTGAAAAACAGTTCACATACCTTTTTAGTTTTAATTTGAATATTCAATTCACCGAAATAGTGCCAAAGACAATTGCATTCCGCATGAATGTATTTAAAATTCAGCTTAAGATTTGCGTTTCAAATGTTTGTCACGCACGCATTGCATTGGATGGAAGGCGATGGTACACGTATCTTAAATTATTAGCAGCCAGCCAGCTAATACGCCACCAGCGTGGCACGATAAATAATTAAGCCGGAACTTCGGAGATCTAATTTAAAAGTGCTACGAACTTGTCTTCTAATACAAATCCATTTCTTTTTAGAATCGTGTTCGGCCGGTCAACCGCCTGTTTACTGCCTGCTCTCATTCAGCCATCTCTGTTGTAGTTTTTTTTTGGATTTTTAAGATAAATTTAAACCATGAAATCATAAATAATATATAAACTGAAATGAATGTTACAGGTTACTTTAAAATTTTATTAAATTCTATTCAGTGATTTAGGTGTCAGTAGATTTATTTATATATGATGATTATCCGAATTATTAAATAGCGGACACCATGAACAGAACAATGAGTTAAGTGGAACAGTTTAAAAAAGTGATGTCACTAGATATTCAACAAACTTTACCAGGAACGTAACTGGCAGGTATAAAAGAGTGAGAAATACTCTTAATTAATATTACATTTTACTAGACAAAATATTTTACAATCAATTTATCGGAATTTTCAATTGAATAAAAATCATTCAAACTATCAAACTAAGGTTATTATTTATTTTAACATCGAGAAACTAAGTGAATGGCAAATAACAAGCATGTCCTCAGTTAAGATATAAACATTCAAGTGCATATCATTTTCCATGTTGGGACATTTTTTATATTTTCATCCAATTTTAAGGCATGTACAATTTCTATAGGAAATTCGATGTTGAATTAAAAATATTAAGTCGTCACTTAATTAAGCACTGGTATACGACTTTGTGCCTGGCAGAAGTTGAGTTGAAATTGCTGAATGTCTACTGCTTTGCAAAATATTCTTGGAATACAATTGTTGCAGAGAGTTTTACGAACTAAATTTGTCAGAAAAGCTGATCTCAACAGTACAGCCTCATTCAAACATTTCCTCGTCATTTGAGTCAGTATAGTACGCCGACTCATAATAATAAAGTACGCTGAAGTTACACATTTTAAATTAAATTTTCAATACGAAGTTATGAAAGAAACTGGAAAGTGAACAAATCAGTGCCCGGACATCTGCATTGTGAAGATGCAATCTTGATAACTGCACAAATCACACCTGAAATTTCGTGGAAAAAACGATCCCTTTGTGAACAAAAATGATTATTGAAGCATGTTTCAGTACAACAATCTGATTAGTTTTAAATATTTTGTATAATTATTTTAAAGTTTATTGATTTTTTTATGAAAAAAATGTTCACATCGTGGGACAGGTTTAAAAAAAGTATCGAACGACGATAGATTGACTCAAAAAAAGGCGTCGCAATGTATTTTCGGACAGTTTATTAAATTTATTTTTAAAATGTTTTGTTCGTTTTGACGTGATGTATGTCGTTGCTTCTTCTCTCAATTCTCATTCCTGCTGTCAGGTCGGCTGCAAAGTTGAAAATATCAGTTAAAATGAAATATGAAAATAATTCATCACTACGTTTGTCATTTTCGTTTTCAAGTTTCTTTCTTTGCATTCGAGTTTTTCACTTCATTTTAACTACGTGAGCATGGCAGTTTTTATATTTTGCTTTATAATGCGTTTGTACGGGAACTGGTAACAAATAAATTTATTTAATGATTTCAAAATTCTTTTAGATTTATTATTTTTAACTATTTATATAGCATTTCATTCTTATTGCAGGGTATCTGGTTTATCAGGATTTTATAGCTAGCTATTGAATCTTCACGATATTTGAAATAGCTTGCAAGCGAAACCATCCACGTGCACAATTCGCTAATGAACTTGTTTGTTTGTAAGTTTATGTGTTTCATTAAAGGTAGACGCCTGACCTGCCGTCCAGTGGTCGTGTTTGTAAGATTAAACAACATTCGATTAAATTTAATGAAACTCGCAGTTTAACTCCTCATTTAATTTATTATATTTTAATCGCATTACGCTATAAAAATATTTAATTTCATTTTTTTTCAATTTTAACAATAAAGAAGAGAAAACAACAACATGAACCTAAAAAATTTGGGATTCAACAATTTGGCAATTTAGGTTTAATTAATGTATATTCAGTACTAGCATTATTGATTCGTATAAGTTTTCAGATGCCAGAAATATCAAATTTGAAAAAATTATCCTCATGGCCAGTAAATCATCATCTGTCCATTTCAAAGATAGGAACGCCAAGTAAGAGAGATGCGTCTGTTGGATGGATTGGGAGGTTTGCATGGGAAGGCGCTTGACGGCCAGTTGTGGTTGGGTGGGAAGAGGAAGTTGCCGCTGCATTGTTCCATGTTCCGATTGGTTGCTCAAAAAAATATTTTTGTTGTGTGTATGTGTGTGTTTGTCTGTGTGTGTGTGTGTTTGTGTGTGTCTGCGTGTTTGTCTCTGTTTACGTGTCTTTCTTTGTTTTTGTGTGCTTATATACATATATGTGGATATAAATGTGTCCATGTGTTTGCTTGCATAAGAGTTTGTGTGTTTCTTCTGTTTGTGTGTTTATTTTATATTTGTACGTGCGAATCTTCGTTTTGTTGGATGCGCTGTTGTGGTGTGGATTGGGACATTCACATACTCACACGTGTGTATGTCCTTCACTCACACTCTTACACACGCACACACACACGCACACAAAAGCACACATTTGATGGAAGCATCGAACAAAGAGAAGAGTAGATAATGAAATAATGATAACATTGATATCCCGGGAATCATATGTGGGGACGTTAGCAATGAGGAGCTGGTGATGATGACGATGATAATGGTGGTGGTGGTAAAGATGATGGTGGTCATGGCTGTTATGAAGGTGATGACGTTAGTGATGGTTATGACAGTGATGATGGTGAAAATGATGATGATGGTGCTGGTGTTAATGATAATGATAAAGAAGATAGTATAATGATGATGATGATGATGATGATGGTGATGATGATGATGATGAAACGAAAATGAAGATGATGATGAGGACAAGGTGTTGATGATAATTTTAATGGTGTTGATGAATTATATATAATGACTATTTTGACGAGAATGATCGTACATAAGATAACGAATTGAAATTAATTGAACTGGTGTGACAATGAGAACTAAAATTATGGTAACGAATGGAAAAAATGATGAAGATGATGGTAATGGAAACGTTCTACCAGATGAGTGCGAGATGAGGTCATTTTAATCCATCAATGTATCTTTACTCGATCCTGTGGCGTGTTGTTTTGTTAATGATGTTGTATTTAAAGTATCTTGAGTTGTGTCAACGTTTGTATCTGTGTTTGTATCTGTGTTTGTATCTAGGATTGTATCCAGGTTTGTATCAGAGTTTTTATCTATTTGTGTATTTATGTTTGTATGTTTATATCTGTGTCTATCTATGTTTATATCTATGTGTATTTATGTTTGTATGTTTATACCTGTGGGTATCTATGTTTATATCTAAGATTGTATCCATGTTTTAGCTGTGTTTGCATGTTTGTATCTATGTTCGATGTATCTAAGTGTGTCTACAGGTGTATCTAAGTTTGTATCTAGAGAGATATATCTGTGTTTCTATCGATGTTTGTATTCACGCTTGATATCCAGATAAAAAACTACTTTCCTTTTCGTTGTCTGCTGTTGAATGTTTACTACCAACTTTTATGATGGTTTCCATGTTATGAACGCATCTAGGGTTAGCTACATTTAACTTCCAACTTGATTGCACTTGAACAGGAACCTGCTTGCCTAACAAAATTCCCACATTGATGCATCGTTGATTGACATGAAATGTGAGAGCTATGTTTATTTGCATTGCAACTAAGCAAGACACGTATGAATGTAGAAATGACTATAAGTACGACATTTATTGAGTGAGGCAACTAAATGTTACAAATTTAAATATTCCAATAATTAATTATCTTTTTTTTAAATTCACAGAATAATTAATAATGAATCAAAAACTTATTTCATTCAGAGCCACAAGTAAGGGGGGGTTTGAGCTGCCACACTACCCATTGACGCTTTTTTATTTTTTTCATTTGAATTAGTTACTTATTCAATTGTCAACTTTATTGCAAAGAAATGACTCAAAATTTTTTGGCCAAACGAAACTAATTTATTGACTTTTTGACACTCAGTTTTTTAAAATGATTGTAATATATTTGTGTATAGTTTACGTCTACATTACTCTTTTCTCAACATTTTAAAATCTAATTGTATTGAGTTTGTTTCGATTTGTTTGAGAATAGTGAAAAAGATGACTAACTTTCTTTCTAAGAGGACTATGATTTATTAGTACGAGGGGATACAGCACGGCGCAATGGAAAGTCAATGACTGAAGTAAACGGGAATGACCTGGTCGAAAAATAATTCATCTTGCTTGAAACGCTCATGACATTTTAAATGATTTTTTGAATTTTTTTTGTTTTTTGTTGTGCTGGAGGAACATTTCGACAAACGAACAATTTTTGACGAAGGGAAACATTGAAATTCATGTAAAGCATTTCGGTTTTCAATTTGAAAGAAGTTTTTTTAATATATATATAGTTTGTGAGATATGATAACATTTTGTAATTACTTTTAGTTTAGGCTACAGGAATGTCACCGTTAATAACACTGAACCAGCAACCGTTGAACAACCCAACCAACTACAATATCTTCATTTTAACAAAATAATTTTTTAAAAAACTATTCAACGGTTTTTGAAAATTATTCATGTCCAAAAATCGTGCTGGATTTTTTTCTAATCCATTTTTACAAAACTTCATTCAAAATTCCGGAGAGATTTTGAATTTTTTTCCTCCATAAAATAATGTTGAATGATGCACGATGTAAATTGGATATGGGAGTGTTTATAAATGGTGCCCAATACTTCATTGACGGGATGTAGCGCGAGTGAATCATTAGTTTTCAAAATTGATTGTGACACAGTTCAAAAAGCATTTTTCAATACTGCGCAACTTATAATGGCTGCAATTTATAATTAAACACTTTAATTTTTCAAATGAAGTTGTTTCTCAACGTAATTATTTTCCATAAAAAATCGATTCCTCATATTTCAAATTTTCAGATCCACAAATATTTTGCAGTATGAATTTTTTGAGTCCATGGAATATTTAATGTCACAATTTTTGTCGAATTTAAAATTGAAGCGTTGGCCTATAGATGTTATTGTTGCATTTGCATCCGTGTATGCCTGGTTGTGTGTCGACAGTC